TTGCTTTGAAATCTGTCACAGAGCTTCTTGTAAAAGGTTTTGATTTTGCATAAGCTGAATATAAAATCACAACATGCATGACATGCTTGACTTACACCAAACACTCTCTTTACAAACTTTAACAGTGTTGTGCAAGTCTGAGCAAGGATTTACCAACACAGAACGTTATATACAGTTTGTGTCAGAAGAACAGAGCACTCAAACAGTATCACAGCCTAATACCTGATATGCTTTATGTGAAAGCAGGACACTCCTTCATTAGCTGAAGGTCACACATTATAATAATACTTGGTACTTGCAATCCTGGAGGTGTTGTACTCTATCTAATTAAAATTGGCAGATACGTTGGCTTTTATGCATAGGGAAAAGAAAGTCGAGATTTCCCTCAAGACAGAGATAGAAGAGGAAAGAATTCATAGGCACAGAAACCTAATTCTAATTCAGTTCCTTGGTACCCAGTTCTTCCTCTGATTTCTGACCAAGTTTTCTAATAATAAGGGAAAATTTTGAATTTTATTAAAAAAAATTTGAGGAAAAAATACCAAATCTATCATTTCTGCTAAACCAGGGCAGAGTATTTTGAATAGCAAAGACCTTTTTCAGGAGTATGAATAGAAAAGCAAAGCATAACACCCAGTGGTGTTAAAATTCTCAGGCCTATTACAAGCCAAAAGTTATAGCTTGTTTTCTTACTACTACAGATGTTCTTTCCCAGAGCAAAATCTTGGAATATCAGCAGAAGTATTAAAGAATACTCACCCTTCTGTTTTTGTGAATATCTAACATATTCATCTTATACAGACTTTGCATGTCAATGCATTTGTTAAGCTGGACACCGTAGCATTACTCTTTAGCTTATATTAAGCATGAAAGCAGAAGAGAAACCCAAATCTGACCAATTCCAGTTTTATATTTTTTTTCTTTTTTTTTCTACCAAGTTTTTCTAATAGATGCATATTTCATAATGGAATACCTAATTCTTCAGAAATCACAGTTGCACGGAGCTCACTTCAGCTGGGAGTACAGCTATCTGTCGTGATGTGAGAGTCTCCACAAAAGTCAGCTCCATTGGTGCTCTCTCTGCTGATTTGAGGTTGGCTGTTACCCGTGTTTGGAGCAACAATGGTCATATCCCTGAACTGCCAACTGAAAGGACACATCTCCTTCGCTCACAAAATTCCGTGACATCTACAAAGGTAAAGAAGCATTTTGGAATTTCTCTGCAAGTACAGACCGACTCAGCTCAATCTGGCAGAGTAACACCACTGATCTTCAGCAGACCCACTTGCAGGAGTGGGAGCAATGCCCAAGCATTCTCTCTGTCTTTGGGATGCAACTCAGCAGTGTTTATCTGCGAAAAATGCCATGGAACTTGGTTTAAGTAACCATGTATATTAAGGCCTATTTATCTTATTAATGTAAAGTGCAGAGTACATTCAGTTGACTGGCTGTAGCTTGCAGTTTATAGAATCAGTTATTCTGTGCGGCAAGAGCACTAACTAGAAATATTTAAATAATCACATGTATTTTAGTGTGTCTACTCTGCTCTTAAAATTGAACACAAGAACGATTATTCTAAAGGACTTTCTCCATCTCATTGCACACTGGCTTAGAGAATGTCTCAACACTTAATAAATACTGTGGACTTTTAAAACATTGTGCAAGCATTGTCTAGTGACATCTGAACTGTCTGAAAGAGATCAAAGTTCAGTAAAGTGCATTATATATGCCTCTTACCCTTATTCAGTGGCTATAATTTCATTCCTTCTGGAGATAAGGAACACACCAAGCAGGCTGCCACTCCCACATAGTTGTTTTGTTGCTAGCAACTTGATTATTTTGTTCAAACTGGAACAATCAAGAAGGTTATTCTTAATAAAAACAACTGTGGACAAGATTAATTGTATCAAATGATTAATTTTTCTAGAAAGCAGAATGTTCATTCACAATATCTTGTATCCCCTTGTTTTTAAAACAGAGTAATACTCTGAAATAACTTTTCTCAATAGGCCACATGCACTTTAGAAAGTAGTGAAAATGATAGTGTGGAAAGTTGGGATGTTTTCTTCCTCAAAGCAGTAGGTAGAAAAGATTTCATATAACACTGTGGAAGATATTTTCTCGAGTTGAATAAGCAGGGCCAGTTATTTATACTGAAAAAATCCAAAGATTAAGCTTCTGCTCTTTAATGTCTCAGCCCTAAAATGTATGTGACATATGTGTTCAGCTTGTTCCTTTTCACATTTGCCCTTTAAGTGCAGCATCCATTGATGGTCATTTAGAAAGCACTTGAGTGCCATGTGTTTTAGCAAAGCTAACAAGAGAGAGGTTTTAGATAAAAGGACTAGTGTTTAAAACAATCTTGTGAAATTGCTGTTTTCTATGCACTGCCAGAAACCAACCTGGGGTGGGAGGGGAGCAGGGAAACTTCAGAGGAAGTCTTAGAGAAATGAACCATAGCCAGTGCTGTCATCAATGCCAGTGAGAGTCAGACTGGCAGTTTAGTCAGGGTTTAGCTAGTGTCTGGAATTTGGACACCCCGAACACAAATCCTTAATGCCAGGGAGCTTGGTAGCTGACGGGCACTTGAGCCAGACATCCTGCTGCGGATGACATGTCCAATCTTTGGAGAAAGTAAGGGCTCAAATGGACGTAGAAATGACAGCAATCTGCTTGTTTCATCCTGTCACATGGGATGGCCAGAATTACATTTGTCATTCTCTAACAGTGGATTCACAGATTTTTTTTTTCTCCATCTTACTCCTGCAAGGAGTCATCCTTGTTGCTGAACAAGGCAGGAGATGTTGCAATAGTATTGAATATTCTAGAGAGATGTTTAAAATGTAAGCCACCAGGTCTAATGAGGGGACAGGCCTTTTCCAGCAGCCACCGAGTCACTGAAACGTTTTCCTTACCTTGTCTGAAGCAATATGATTTTGCTTGGTCTTGCAAGACACTCATTATGTAAAAAGTTGCACATAACACAAGAGTTTCTGGAGATAAGTACAGTGCCACATTTGACCCCCTGCAGTGATTTGATTTTGGTGTTCATGGAGGCTGAGTATTCCTGAAATGCCTGAAAGTGTAGTTATCTTGGTGTTACTATCCAAATTGATCTGCCAAAGTCATGAAATTGAGATGGGGGTTCAGTGAGCCTTTATCGGCTGCTTAGTCTGAAACATTCAATGGCATGAGAAGCTGCCAAGAACTGGTGGCCTAGGGGACAAACTTGGACTATTAACCCATCGTTAATAGTTCCATTAATTCCCAAGAAATGTCCAGTGCTTAATTAATTTGTAGTAAACTGACAGGAAGTTTCTCCCAAGTATGTTACTTTCCAAACTGTGTCCTTTAAAAACCTTATTCACATTATTCTTTAGATTTTTGACCTCACATTCATCTTTCTCCTGCCACACAACAGAAGAACTTCAATCTAGCATGAATGATGACACGTGTTCATCTAGCAGGAATCCTCATCAGCATTGCTCTTAGTCGTTCTGCCTTGAAAATACCCTGTTTCAATAGAAATGAGAAAAATGCCTTTATCCTCATTTCTCTGTGAAACACAATTTACTTAGAGGATAAGCCTAGACCTGTTATGTTAATCATAAATCAATTATATTTATCCCAAACCTGGAAAGCATGAAAATACCTTCTTTCATTATTGCAAAATCCAGTAGGATATTCATAGTAATTATGGCTTATTTTGTACAAATCATAATCATAATCAATCAATATCATAATCATTAGAGCTACAAGAGAGTATTTGTCTATGTTAGAATATTTGAAATGTCTGTTTCAATTGCAGTGGAGGTTTGGGAATTTATTTATTTTTGATAGCTAAAGTAAATCCTTTCATGAACCAGGTTCCTCCTTTTTATTCCTCATGTAGCCTTTTGAATTTAGTCAGATTTTACACGACATGAAGAAAGTGAGAAGGTAACTATGAGGTTAAGCCTGTAAAATACTATCTCTGCCCAGTACCATTGGCCATTGATTTGGCAGATAAGCACCCTGCAATATTGCTCCTTACACCTTTAGCCTGTAAATAGATTATGTCAATCAAGCTGTCCCCACTGTTTGTTATTACTAACACTTGAACCATCTCGTGTTTATCAGGTTCAGACCTCCTCAGTGTTAAGGAATGTACAAAGACAGTCAAAAAAGCTGAAAATAAAGAAATACTCTTAATTCTGCTATATGCATAGGTGGCTGAGATACAAAGTAAAGATACTTAATTGTCTTCATGATCCTTATTTTTTGCAGTAGGGTTTTTTGAGGGAGATTTTTGGTATGTTCGTTGGGTAGCTTTGGTGTTTGGGGGTTTTTTAGGGAGAAAGGAGGGATTGGAGGATGGTATTTACAGTTCTGATCCCACCTGGTAATCAGAGATTTCAGCTTATAGGAAAACAGGAAAAATGGATTGATCTACAATCTGTAGCTTGCACATACTATTCCTCAATCATGTCTAAAAACTGCCTAGGTTCATTATGATCTTCAACACTCTTAAAGCAATTTACCCCGTTTGATACTGAGGTACTAGGTTTGGCTCACATTGTGATTAACAGTGCCAGAGAATAAATTCTCTGCATCTTTCCTCACAATTTAGCTGGCAAGATATCAAATAAGTACACTTCTGCTTATGAGAGCACATATTTCATTGTCAATGTCTAGAACTCCAGCACCAGAAATATCCCATTATTCTGTGTTCATTTCATTATTAAATAAATGTCATGAACTCATTTCTCCTGTTCGTCTCTGACTCTGTGGAATGTAAGCATGGTCTTATGGTCAGGCCCTGCTGCCCTTTCCACACTAAGTACTAAACTGTCAGAATGAATGGAAACAGGTGTATGCAGAGAGAGATGGCTATATCTGAAAGAGTGATTTTGATTGTTGTAGCCATGGTTGAAACTAAATCTGGCTGGAAGTGCAACCAAAATTTTTCAGGCTCTTTTGTGCACCATCGTGACTACTGACCGTGCCAACAAACATGTTAATAAAAGGGTATTTCTAAAAGTCCCTCTTCGTGGCAATACTCATTTCAGTTGCACGTTATTTCTTTTTGAAGCCTCTGGAATATTATGTCTTTGTTGTATCAAAACTTCTAATGAGTAGGTCAAAAGACTCAAATAGTCCTTTCTATTTCTTTCAATTCCCTAAAGATAGTTGACTAAAATCAATCCCAGTGAGTTTATGTATAACTGCCTATAACTATATGTATAAGTGCTGGAAAACAGGCACCTGAAGTATCCCATCATTTCTCATGCACTGTGAGATCTGCTCTGCCTGGCTCAGGCTCTCTAGGTATAAAATGTACTTTGAGGTTACATGCTCTTCCTACAGGTTGATGCAGCTGCTATTTGAGTGAAAGTACAGGTATGATAATTAATTGTACAGGATATATAGCATAATGAAGAACTGAATCACTAGAGATGAGTTTAAATTGACAGTTCGTCTTCTGTTATCATTTTGGTGGGGAAAGGGGGACATCTGGTGGGAGGTCTTTGTAAAAAATTGGAAAATGTAATTTTCTATTTGCAGTAGGATACAAGACCCTAGGGAAGTTGTATATTCTGCATAACCGATAGACTTTGCATAATTTCTAACCAGAAGAGTTGATTAATTAATTTGTATCAAACCCACACAACAGGATGTTTTGCAGTGGTGCATACTGTAAAGTCCTCACTTCCCTTTATCAGGTTCACAAAGAAGTATAGCTAAGGCTGGATGAATGCCCAGTACCCACTTGTAATGAGATTTTCACTAAAGGTCTGGGAGAAAAGTGGTGGGATGAAGACTCATCCTGAAAAAGCACTTAATACTTTTTGCTCAGAGTGAGAAAATAAACATTAGGAATCCTCCAGCTTGCCTGAGTACATAAAAAAGCAAGACATTGTGGCATTACTAAGCCTTGAGTAGACATCTTCTAAAACATTATAACCTGCTTAATAAACCTTTGGGAATGCAACAAGGCAGGAAGAAAAACATACATAAAATACTTGAGCATGGCATTTAAATTAAGTGCAGCAGATTAAAGGAAGACATAAGAATATGGCACATCCATGTTAAAATGCCCAGTATGCTTGGGCCCATCAAGTAAATAGTAACTAAAGATTGTATTTACTGATAAAGAAGAGGACAACTATAAGTTTTTGTTGTTTCCATCTTCTCTGGTCCTTTCCTAGCAACAGTCAGTCTGGAATATTCAGCTTTGCTCCTTCTGCTGCCATTTCAGAGCTTCTGTCCTATTTTGTGAATGATCCCCTTCAGAAAGCATCCTATGAGGAGGTGGCTCCAGGGTCACAGTAGTCACGGGGTGAGAGCTTCAGTCTTGCTGTGGGAGAAGCAGTGCTGGAAAATCATTCTCTGCACAGGTATTGCTGCATGGGGCTTTGAGGAGAAGACAGCCAGCATGGAGTGAGACCTTACCACAGCTGCTCACTCTGCCAAGCTTTCTTGCTTTATAGCTGAGCTATCTCACCCACTGCAAACTGGGTGAATTTAATTTCCTGGGAATTCTGTGACAGACAGATTGCTTTTCACCAAAGTCAGCACAAGAGAACTGTTTCAAGCTGAGAATTGAAATGAGTATACTTCTTTTTCCCCTACTCCACTGCTGTATTTCATTTGTTTGTCTAAATCATTTCATAGTCTGTGTCCCATGGCAGCACTGTTACAAATTCAGATGTTTTTTACTATTTCTCTGTTGCCACTAAAAAATTCTCTGAGTCCATTCCAGATTTATCTGCAGCCTTTAAAGTGCAGTAAGGGACTATCAGTGCATCTAATTTATGCTTGCATTTGTATTTAAGTTATCATTAGCATAAGGTATTAAATCAGATTATGATTAACTTGCTTTTGCAAAGCTAAAGCAAAACTTTCTGGGATCAAAAGTTACTCTCCAAAAAATTATTTCCATATAAAGTATGTTTATTAAATGTGCTGAACTGTTATGTAGTTCCTTTAAATTTATGAAAAGACTCAGAAACTGCTTGGCAAGAATACTTTAAATGACAACATATATCATAAATGCCTTTCATACTATATAAAGAAGAGCCTGCATAAAGAGCAACTAAAAAAGTCTAGCATGTTCACTTATGCTCTGAGTACAATATAAGCCAAGCTAACCTCATTTTATATGAGGTCCTTTTTTACTCAAATATATCACTAAGCTTTATTTCATCTGTTGTATTTTCATTGTTTTTGGCCAAACCTGAAGTGTGAGCATTCAGGCTTCTAAGCCGCCTGATAGAGGGGAATTTAAGAATGGAACAATGTTCAGAACTGATGGATACATAATTTATTTTAAAAGATGGGCTCCTGAGCTAGCACAAAGAAGCAATGCTAATGTGATCCTATCTGGAATGCACATTGTAATTGTCTGGACTTTTACTGCAAGCAAATTTTCACTTTTCTCTTACAAAAACAAGTCATGTCATAGTTTGTTAATTTGGGTAAACACTCAGAGTAGTTTAATTTTGAAACCTGCTACAACTGGCAAGATAAGCCATTAGGAAAATTATCTGAGCTAAGTGCCCTTTTGCTGTCAAACAACGAAGAATACAATTTGTTGCACTAAATCTTCAATTCCCACTGATTCCTGTAGGGTTTTGTATCACTGTTGCAAAGTCATTTTCAAAGGCAGGGTCTCCTAGCCAATGGTGGACAGCAAAGCAGCTATGTGAAACACCATTACTCAACAGTTACTGCACTGATGACTCTTCATCAATGTTGTGTGACAACAATGGTTGTGCAACTAACTTGTCCATTTTGAGATGTGTTCAAACCAATATTCTGGATTTAAATGACCATTAATCGAAGAATAAAGTTTTAGCACTGAATCTGAACTCCCTCCCACATTTGAGAGGCGACAAAGGGAACGGTGGGTTATCCATGCCATTTTTGAGAAAACCTCAGTGAGATTGTTCTCCTGGGAAGAATACATTGGCTAAGGTGTATAATTACATTTTCAATTGGCTGTAATCATGGAGTTTTTCATTCTTAGGGAGGTAGTTGAATTTCATCAGCAGCCTGGTATGTTCTTCTGTTTCTATCCCATATTAGTCTAATGGGATTTTCTACTTTTTTGTGGGACATTGATTATTTATGCTTTGCTAGTGTAAAATGCCAGCCTTGATGGAAAAATCGACTAGTATCTTCTGGTAGATCTACCTTACTGAGAGCCACAGTAGTTTCACATCCAGGGTAACTGCTTGCACTACCTGAGGCCAGCTGGAGGGTCAGTTAATGCTTGGTGAGGTGTGCAAATGGCATCATCCCTAAGGATTGGTGGGAGTTTCCTTAGAGAGTCCAAAAATAAAAAGATTTTCATGACTACTGTGTATGTGAACATATGAATTGTCAAAATACCCTCAGATTATTTTTGTGGAAATTAATCCGTCTGTAAACCTGTTTTTTGTCTTAGTTGTGCAATTTTAATTGTCACGGACTGTTCCATGAAATAACAGGTCGCTAAGATGCAGTAGTATTAGGAAAAAAATAGGTCCGTTGTGGTTGTAGATTGCAGAAATCTCCAGCACAAAAAGTGACAAGTGTTTGCAATAGACAGTTTATGGTTATAAAAGAGATATTGTCAGTGATTTGGGTTAAAATTATACTAGAGTTAAAGCTTACCCACTCTTTTCTTAGGAACAGGGCAATAAAGAAGATATGTCTATTTTTAAAATAGAGATTATGTGTCAAATCTTGAAGAAACAAATTCAAACTCTGTTGAACTCTACAAGCAGAATCCATGCCAGATTAATTTTTGGTATGGATGCTTATGAACATCATACACAGCTGGACCTCTGTAGCAGACTGGCTGCTCAGTGTAAGGCTGTTGACAAATTATATGACCTGTGCACAATGTACACAGCTGAAAATGTGTAATGCGTGCATCCACTTTCCTTTATAAACGGTGAGTAGGAGTCTTCCATCTTCCTGGAAAGTTAACTCTTTTTCTTTGGCTTCAGAGAGGTAAAAGATACTCTGTAGGAGAATTCCTAAAAGGAAGCATTCATTTGAATTGAAAGCACAGACAGGAAAATACGTGACATCTATAGTACAAGAGTTTATTTCTAAAGGATTAGCTGATGAGGTTTTTAGGAATAAATACAACGTATATTAGGTTTAGAAAAGGCTTTTCCCTAGATTGCTATAAGAACATTATGCCATTGATTTCTGACACTGGATTTGTAAACTTAAAATGTAGTGTTGAATCAGTAAGAACAGCTTTCATGGAACTTAAAAATCATCTCATGCAGTAATTGTTTCAGCTGTAATTCTGACTCCAGCAGAAGTGTGGGAAGTGTGATTTTTGTTCTAATTGTGTTATGATTTGGCTGAACTTATTAGTGTCAATGTAATTCCATAGAATTAATGAAGGTGCACTAGAAGAAAATTCTTTTCTAGTCGAATTTTCAACTGGATATTTCTTTTTTTTTTTACCCAAAGATAATGGTGAGAAGGCTGTACTGGTTGCATCTGCAAATGTTCATGCTAATTTAATACCTGTATCATATTGTGCACTCCTTGTTTTTCTAAGGACAAAGAGACCTCAAGTACCATTGAGATAGTCCTATGGTCATAATTTGTCAGAAATCAGGATTGACACATTAGATTGTTTATGAGAGTGATGGCAAAAGGGTTTGTGAAAACATCACTGAACATACTTCTTAAAGCTGGAATAATTTCTTGCAAACAAGTCTGCTTAACATATTTTAAGCTCTCCTGCGTGGCAGAAAAAGAACCCTCCCTGCTTGGTCTTGTGTGAGGTTTTGGAACCTCCGGGTGCTCTTAGGCACCCACACTGTTGGGTTATTTTTTTCATGAAGCCAAGCAAGTTAATAGTTATTATAAAGTTATTTATTGCAGAAGCACATCAGTCTCAAAGACAAAAGGAAAGCAAAACAATGGCAAAAGCACATGGCATAAAATCAAATGGCAAAAGCAATGGCATAAAAAGCAGTGGCAAAATGCAAGGGCATAAAGCCATGGCATAGAGCACCAGCTCACCCTAATACATGTTCTTTTATAGAAACTTTCCAACTAGCTAAGACACAAACTCGGACCACTACTTCTTAACCTATTAGAATTCTGGTTTCTTAGCATGCCAGGCTACGTATAGACTACGTACACAGCCTATCTTGTTCTAACTGAAAAATGTAAGCAATATTCTTAACTCTATTATGTCTGAAGCTCGGTTCTTGGAGCCTCTAAGGAAACACTAGGATGTTTTTTAACCTTCACTAAAACGTGTACTACTTCTCAGGCATCTAAGACCTTTTACATACTAAAAGCGCTTAAAACTTATTCCATATACTTACTTACTTACTTACTCCATCTGCTCACTTACTCATTCCATCTACTCACATACTCATTCCATCCAAAGGCTTTAACTCAGTCCCTGAATTCTCCAAAAAATTCAGAGAAACTCCTGACTTACTGACTCCAACAGTCTTGGTTCAATTTTTTTTCCATTTTAAAAGAACGGTAACTTCCACATCTTGTGTGGAACTAGCAATAACAATTCAATATTTTCAGTAATACTACCAGCAAAGGAGATGCAGGAGTGATGTCCTAACACTGAAAGCTCTCTTAAGATGTTTCTGTTTAGATAGTGCATAGTGAAAATATAAGGTTCAAAGTATGCACCCAGCTCTCTTCCTGCATAGGAAAGCTAAATGCTGTCCTTACTGGCCTGTTTCTCAGTCTTATCTCTGTTGGAAGAATATCTAGGAAAATGTGCTGTTTATAATCCTGGAACTGATACAATGAAACAAAAGCCTGATGTTTCCTGCTGTTGCCAAGTCTTCATTGTCAAGACGGGGTTGACTTTTGGTAAACCATAATCTGATCTTTCATCATTTTTTAAAATATTTCTGTTTCTTTTATTATTTCTCCTTCCTATTCCTTCTCCTTTTCCTTTGGTCACTGTAGAAACAGATATCAATCTATATTACTTCATATGTACATGAGCAGCCAAGAAGGCCAGTGGTATTCTGGGATGCATTAGGAAGACCCTTGCCAGCAGGTTGAGGGATGTGATCCTGCCCCTCTACTCAGCTTTGGTGGGGGACATCTGGAGTGCTGTGTTCAGTTCTGGGCTCCTCAGCACAAGAGGGACATGGAGCTCCTGGAGCAGGTCCAGCAGAGGGTAACAAAAATGATGAGGGGACTGGAACATCTCTTTTATCCAGAAAGGCTGAGGGAGCTGGGCCTGTTCAGCCACAAGAAGAGATGGGAAAATCCCCTGAGAGGGGATTTCATCAGTGTGTATAAATATTTAAAGTCGGGGTGCCAATGAGATTGATTCAGGCTCTTCTCAGTGGTGCTGAACAATGGAAGAAGAGGCAATGATCAGAAATTGATGCACAGTGAGTTCCACCTGAACATGACGAAGAACTTCTTTACTGTGCAGATGACCAAGCCCTGGCACAGGTTGCCCAGAAAGGTTGTGGAGTCTCCCTCACTGGAGTTACTCAAGAACCCTCTGGACACAAACCTGTGCCATGTGCTCTAGGATGACCCTGCTTGAGCAGGGTGGTTGGATAAGGTGACTACAATTGTAGTCCTTTCCAAACTTAACCATTCTGAGATCCTGTGATATGTGTTTAAGTCTATGTATAAACATGTCTATGTATAAATAACCTGGCAAAATCATCAATAACTGAAATTCACTTCTCTGAATCAACTGTGCTGAGTTCATCCATCAGGAATGAGAGAATAGCAAGGCATAAGAGAACTCACAAGCTCTTTGAAGGCAAATCAGGCAAAGGGCTCTCTCAGCACTAGCTCCCAGGATACAGACAGCTGGAGTGCATGGCCCTGCCTCAGGATGCCACCGATACTCTGAATCATTCAGACTTGCCAGTACATAGTTAGGAAATATTTATATTTTGGTGGTGCACAGGAGCAGAACTCAAGATAAGGCACTATTGAGCAAGGCTCTAAGGCAAACTTAGCAATAGCGCACAGACTGCTTAGGAAAGCTCATGTCAATTTAGAGAGCCCCCAGGAAAATCACTCCTGTAAGAGAAATTACTCAACCTCTGAACACCAAATGCTCCGTTAAGCTCTGAGATGTGCAGTAAGACACAGTAATCACATTTTAACCTGAAGTGTTTGGGAGTTAATAATTGTTGTAGAGAAAATCCACCTCATTGAATTCTTGCAGGACCTCACTGTCCACATAGCCATCAGATCAGTCCAGTTTTCATCTAGAGATGTTGCTTCAGAGGGACAGCAAGAATTTCATGCTATATGCTGGAATGTAATTCTCCATCGCTCACTCACAAAATGATAATAATGAACAGTGACTTAAGTGACAAGGACTATAACAGCGATGGATAATATTGGCGAATACAAACTGATAAGCGTGTGTGGGGTACAAAACTGTCACTCAGTAGCTCCAGCTTTGAGGGACACATTGCTTTCCATGTACACATGCTGGATCCTATTTCTGACACTCCCTAAATGAAGCAGGACCAGGCACAAGCTGGGGGCTACTCAAATCTCCCACTGCTCTTTCTGTGAACAGGAAATGCTTTCTCTCACATCCATTACTCTGTAATTGTACAAGCCTACTAGAATGGAGATGGAAATAAAGCTTTCACTGTAGCTCAGTTCCTTCTCTTTCAAAATACTGCGATGGTATATTTATTTAATATTGTTTTGAAGTTCAGATGCCTTAGTGACAGAAGCTTTTGACACAAATATTGGGAAACTATACTTGTGCAAGCTTTTAAAACTTAACTTCTCTAGAGTACTCCAGGAGTCCAGACTGATTTATTTCCTCTGCATATGCTTTCTCTCTTTTTCTGTTCATCTTCCCTTACTATGTTCTGTAAAACATATTAACTTATTTATCCTGAAAGGTATTTACTTTCAACTTTTTCAAGAGACGGACCCTAACTCCAAAGCTACATCATCTAGTCTCTGGAACTGAAAATGTTGCTATCATGCCTTGACTCTATAAGGAATTACAAAAAAAGATTTTTTTTCCTCCTTTCCAGTGACTCATTCAGAATTACTCTGGATTAAATATCTCCACCCACTGACTTTCATGTTTTATCAATAGTTATAAATATCCTGAAACAGTACAAACCAATCAAATAAATACAGCAGTTTCCTGGCTCTTGATTGAGACTAAAAGACAACCATAATCAACCACTTTAGAGCAAAAGTAGGTTTATGCAACTGACTCTTGAATTTTCTTTCTAGGGTATTTTGTAAAGAGGACGAAATGCTTTTAACTCACGCTGCCCCAGAGTTTTAATTATTGCACCACTTCTTTGGATTTTAATGGTGTTTTATGTCTCCATGTATGTAGTTCATAAATTTTCAGACATTTTTTTCCTACTTTGGATACCTTTACCTCCTTTTGGAATAGAAGACCTCAGTACCATGGAAGTAAAAAATAAGCTGTTGCAGAAGAGACTGAAAGATTGATGAAGAACAGGAACTAATATATTACATGGCATAAGCATATCCTGCACTTATTTTACATAATTCTTTAAAATTATTATGATGTAATGATTTTTTTGTTCCATAAAGAGGGTTTTTGGCAAGAACTTGCCAGTGAACACATCCTAGCATTAAACCTACACCCACTTTTTTTTTTTTTTTCCTGGCAGGAATTGGCAGGAAAAAAAAAAAGTCCTAAAGCTGGGAATAGGTCTGTTGGCACTCACCACCACTGCTCCTTTAGTGGGTTCATCATCATTCAGGTAACCTTCAAACTGTCTAAAAACCCACCTCCTGTAGAGCTGTGTTATTTGAGTTATTTTGCTCGGGTGACTGTTTCAGAGCATCCACCTCGATTACTTCATATCTTTCAAGCACAAAGCATCTGATTTTGACAAATCTGGTAACCAAAGTAAATGAAGCTGTACTTGAAAAAAACCCAAAACTAACTATAGAAATATCAGAGATGGGTACCAAAACTGATTGTTTTCAGACATGGAGTAATCTATAGTAACAAGTTAAACTAGCAATTCATAATGCCATAACAGGAACTGATCTGTGCTACAAATGATAAGCAATTGGTAGTGGAAACTAAGCCTGAATGGGCTTGTTGTGTTCAGCTGTAATTTGTGTAACTCTATGATCATTCTCTCTGATTTTGGGAGCACTATCTCATCTGTCTGTCATGCAAACAGGGGTTTTGCATTGTTTCCGATTAAAGAAGCTTCACACATTGTGTCACAAATCTCACCTTTGAAGAAATTACAGATTTAAAGACAACACAAAGGACCTCAGCTCCAGAGCTCCAAACAGGAGGTTTACATTGCATTAAGGGTGGAAATGGTTTGGGCCCTTCCAGAAGCACCATCTGTTTCTACGGCTGGTCATTGTTTAGATTATTTATGACCATAATTTTAAATTTATCTGATTGACCTTTGGATAGCCTCCTAAAATAACTATTGACTCTTTGAGTTTTCAAGGTAATATATTAAGATGCAAGGGTTTAATGTTATTATTTTATGGAAAGAACCACAAGCATTTTTATGTAATATATCAATATCTACAAATCCAGGAAATAGCTATACTATCACATAGCAAAAAGAACTGCAGCATCACATATTTGTTGTTCATACCATGACATATTCAGACTGAAATTTCTTCATGAGAAAAAAGAAAGGACAGACAGGTTTTTGGGGAAGTTTTTTGTGAAAATCCCCCTCCCCTACAGTATACATCTTCATGTTATAGTTCAACAGAGTACATGGGATGAAGCTTCTCCAAAAATAATAGAAAATAAAAAGGAAATGGGTCTTGACAACTCATGACTTGCATCAGATTAAAATGGATGAAAGGAGACAAAACAAAAATCACTTACATATTAGTGTATATGTGAGGCTTTTACTTGGCCCTAAAATGGGGTTTTTCACCCTTCCTCCGGTCTAGCTCAGGTGTTAGGGTGAAGTTTCCCTGGGCCCTTGCCTCATGGACGTAAATAAGATAACAAAGGAGGCTCTTTTCCCTAATGAAGTTACAGGGTTTATTTCTCGTGGGTAGCGAAGGAAAGAGGGAGGGGGAGAAAAGAGGGGAAAAAAAGGGGGAAAAGAGACAGAGGCCAGGGGGTACCGACCTTTTCTAGGGTCTGGAAAGGGGGGCGGGGAGAAATTGGATCCCAGCCAGCCCTGTATGGCCAGGGGGGAAGAGGGACCAAGATACAGGGCACAGCAGGGGTCACGGAATGTACCATTTACAATGTATCAAGGAAATGCAACATATATGACCTCATCCTGAACTATTAGCAGTGCTAGGAGTCTTTCCATTTTAACTGAGAGATCAGGTCCCATAATTCAAAAACATTGTGAAAAAATAAGAAATTGTCTCGGTTTGAAAGACGGGTGTCTGCTAGGGAAAGCAGGACCCTCCTTTGAAATTGAGAAAGTAAACCCCTTCCCTCTGAATTAGTATAATTTTGAAATTAAGGGGCTCTCAGGCAAAGATATGGGGATAGGAATAACAGTTCTTTACTAATATACATAAGAAGGTGTTGGGGGTTGACTGCTTCCCTTTTCTTTCTGTGGAATTTCTCCCATTGTTATGCTAAGTAATTGTGGCTACACCTTAAAACGACAGATAATGTTCTCTCGTAGGGGGGTGGGTGGAGGGGAGTGGGGGGAACTGGAAAAGGAAAGGTGGGACAAGGGGTCTGGAGCGGGGGACTCTCTCTCGCTTGGCTTGTGGAGTGGGAGGACAGCCCGGGGCTCCGGTCTGGCATCTCCCCTGCCATCCCAGCACTGAGATCCACGCTCCCTGCCGTTGGACATCACTCTGCTGCTCTCCCATCTCACCCTACTATCTCTGGACACTCTGCTGAGCACCACGACCAACACCATGAGGGGGAGTCACTTTCCCATCCCCTCTCACCCCTGGGCCGCCGCCATCACCCAGCCCCTCTTCAACTGCGCGGGACCTGCCCTGCCCCCACAGCACCGGTAACTGAGCGCAGGGAGAGAGGGCCTGCAGCCAAAAGGGACTGGAGCAGAGCTAGACTGTTCTGTTCTGTTGTCAATTTTTATAGCTGTTGTTGTTTTTTCTGCCTTGTTGGATATCAGTAAAGAACTGTTATTCTTATCCCCACATCTCCTGCCTGAAGGCTTCTGATTTGGACCTAAAATAATTAAAAGGGAGGGGGTTGCATTCTGCATCTCGGGAAGGGGGCTCTTGCCTTTCCTTAGACCATACCTGTCTTTCAAACCAAGACAGATTTTGGC